ACCTATGGCGTTTCCATGTGGCCTCGGTCACATGGGTTCGTGACGTAAGGGGTAAAAGAATCTTGAGGTCATGGGGCTTCCCCTGACCTAGATTCTATCTCTCCGTCACCGGCAGAATCGCTGATTAATGCCTCCAGTTCAAAATAGTCATTTTGACTGACCGGAGTCTATGGTGGGTATGAACTATGTGAATAGGTGGGTTCGGAGAACCCTCGCCTAAATTAGGACACCCACCAACAATTTTGCATTGTGGAGTACACTGGTCTTATACATGTAGATTAATATAATATAAACAGGTTCTATGTCATTGGTCATTATGGCACTATGATGCACATTGGACTCAAATAGTTAACTGGTGGCCATTTTGTTTTAATGAATACAGTTCCACAGCCATATTTCTGACATGCTATGACTGTTAATTCATGTTCAAACTTTAATATTTCTTGAACTTTACAACTCGTAGGACTATGTATATACTGTACTTCTAGGCATAAGCTCAGAGTATCCATACTTAAAATCAGGAAAAGTAAGGGGTGGCATAACGGTATAACCCAAAAGAAAAAGTTCCTTAACGCCCCCTCACCCCTAATCAGAACCCTAACCCTAACATTTAGCCCTCCAAATGTAATTCATTATGCCCTTCCAAATAATTATAGGTGACCAATAGAAGTGTATATACAAATAAAATGGATTAGTACTGGAGGGCCAGGGTTAGCTTGGAGTTATGGATGAGAGGTTCCAAGAAACGCTTACCGACACAAGTACCACTAAAAAAATAAGTGACTATGTCACCCTCTTGAAAAATTATCCAAATAGCGATTTTCGTTCACTGGATTAGGGGGAATATTACCTTCCTTTGGGGAAAATAAAATCACAAAATGAGTTGTCGTCATTGATCTCCACAATACTTTTACAATGAAGAGTCAAAAATGTTTACAAAAAGTACACAATTTATTACAATACTATTTGCCCACCACTTGAATTTGTTATGTAAAATGTAATAATCTCTGCGAACTGTCAAAGTCAAGATCTTCATCATTATCTTTGTTGTCAAATGTTTTCGATTGTATGCAAACTCTTGATACAAAGCAATTTCCATTAGGATGCATTTCTGCATTGACTTTAATCTGACAGGTCTAGTCAGTAATTAACCAATCAGAATACTTTATCGTACAATCTTCAAAAATCTCTGAATATTTAAATATACTTTAGCAATTGTCATATATCACAATACCCTGGGTGT